TGTCAAAGCAATAAAAAAACATTATAGTACATCCACTTAAATTCCAATGCTCTAACATCACAGGCGGAGTTGAACTTTTTTATATTTGGGGGGTGTAAGGGTTCCCTTTGTCCCTCACATAAGGAATCGCGGATGCATATAATTAATGTATTTATTTTGAATCTTAATGATAAACTACTAAAATAAATCCATAAAGGTGTCCAGTTTGGGGAGCATTGCCCCCCCCCCGTGCCCCCCCCCCCCCCACAAACTCTGGCTATGAGTAGCATTATCATAATGGCTGAGAGAAAAAAATGTTAAAGCAATTTAAAGAAAAATAACCTATATTATGTTTGATATTGGTCGCTAAAGCCTACATGTTAAATAGTACATCCACCTCAATTCCAGGCCCATGAGCACAAAACCAACCAGTCACCGCACTAACACGAAATGGTGTCCAGTTTTTTTCTTATTCAAATTTTTTTTCTCAACCTCACCTCCTGAATCGTTCACTGCCCGAATGTGAAAGTTATACAAAGAAAAGGCTCAGTAGCCTTCCTCTCAATCGCCGGGGCATGCCAAAATTAAACGATTCCAGGGGAAAAGGGGGTTTAATGCAAAGCAAAAAAAACTGGGGGTTGCGAATAACAAAAGACGGGAAGATAAGCAAGGATTTACAGGGGTTGCCTAGCAACGATATACATGGCAATGAGCTAAGTCACGTACACACGATTGGTGTAAATAGCGCGAGAGAGTACTTGGTTTGGTGATAACGAGAACAAATGCAGTCCTAATAGTTTGTGATAAAAGCTCAGTCTCCAGCGGTAAGGCATGGAAGTGGGGGTTTCAGAGCCAAAGCTCACAGGTCTCAGACACTGGGCCCAAAATGGGGCCATCGAGGTTGCAAAGGTCACAGGTCTCACAGACTCGCAAAGACACAATTGGAGGCCAAGCAGGAGTCGCAAGCATGTAGGTTGCAGACATCGGTTGAACTGTGCCCTGCGAGCGATGGACCCGCAGGTCTTGGCACAAGCCGGACAAGGTGCAGGGTATGCGAGCTGGTAGGGGGCTCGAAAGACTTGGACACGGACTGATTAGGGTTGCACAGATCTCTGGGCTTGAATGTCTTGGGCACGGACTGAATAGGGTTGCATAAATTTCTGGGCTTTAAGGTCTTGGGCACGGACTGAGTTGGGATGCAGAGGTGGCAATGTTGCAGGGATTGGGTTGCAACTGGGGATAGGCTCCCAGGTGTCTCCTGTTCTTGGCGCTGTAACAGTGTACTGAGATCTACTCTCAGATATTTCCAGCCACTGACCCTGTCACACTGTGCTGAGATCTATTCTCCTGTGAATTCCGCTCTCTGACACTGTAAGACTGTACTGAGATCTGTTGTCAGACACCGCCAGTCACTTCCACTGGGATAGTCAACTGGGATTCACTGGCACTGTAACACTACACCGTAATATACTGTCACTGGTGTTCAAAATAACTCACAAACACACGTGCATTGATATACTGCTGTGCTGTGCAGTATATCAATGCACGTGTATACACCAGCATGCGATCACTGAGTTGGGCCTGTGGGTGGCTGGCAGAGTTATTAATTAACCGGACTTGGACACCAGTCACGTGGTTAATGGCGACTCGGTTGGGGATTGCTGTGTGTGACACACACGCTGTTGCATTTTACAGGTGAAGGACCCAATGGTTGTTTTAGATCGTTATAAAAATGTTCTAGACTTATTCTAGACTTGTTCTCGACTTCAAGCTTGGCTTAGAAATTTTAGTTTGTGATATATTCAATAGGAGGGGTTTTAGCACTATGCACTGTCAAGGATGACGTACTGTAGTTAATACTTGTAATTCTCTAACCTAATACTCTTTATTTTATAACCATGCCCATGCACCCAGAGTATGACTGCTTGCAATGCTATTGAGAATAGAACACATGTACAGTAGTAAGTTGTACAATGGTGACAAGTACAGTACGTATACTGTGTACATACAATACAGGTAATGGGTGTAAGTGGATGGTATAGATAGACATACAGCTTGGGAATAGTGAAGTGCAAGGGTTATTGTCAAAGACAAAGATGGATTATCAGTAGTAGAATTGGGTTTAAGAGAAACTGTTATTGATTAACCGGACTGGTACACCAGTCACGTGGTTAATGGCGACTCGGTTGGATATTGCTGTGTGTGACACACGTGCTGTTGCATTTTACAGATTGACCACAATAAATGTGTTTGTCCTCGATTTGGAGCACCTGCCCACGTCCTTCATTTCGAGTGTGCAGCACGGATACCTGATGCACAAATGGAAAATTAAAAACTCTCTAATGAACGACTGTGGTCATCCAGAACAGACCGTACATCATATTAAGATCCAATGCCCCAATCCACAAATACGAAGGAGACATCACAGCGATGATCACACTCCGCTGCTCCTCACCGCGCTTATTTGGCTTGACCACCTGAATGCGAAATTGTAGTCGTTGCTCTGTATCTACATCAGCCGTACGAAATAATAAGACTGGCACTTTGTATAAACTTTGTATAAAGTGCAGTCTTCTTTCAGTATGTCACTAAGCATACGCTCGGCTAAAACACTATCATCGATCTGTACAAATGTAGCACTTCGAGGAGAGGCACCAAACCCCTGATGGTCTGGACATGTGGGCCATAGAATCCAGGGCCTCGACAGGCAGGGGGGCACCACAGCTACGGCATTCAGGACATGGAGCGATGAATACGCAGACAACACACAGAGTTCCTTTTGCACACGTTTCTGAAGTCGAGTAAAGCACAAAGCTGCACGGTGTGTCATCTTTGCACACTTGCTTTAGCAACAAAAAAATACCGCGTTAGTACATGCCCCACTGTAATTACCAACCGGAGTTGGATTTCTAAAGCCTTTGACAAAGTACGAGCAGAAAACCGTGGATTGAATCGTATGGTTATTTTAACTGTATGTGCGCTTTAATACAGAGTACCGTGAATCTCATTTATGTGGGTGTTCTGTAAAAAACGTGATAACCCACGTATTTATTTATTAAAAGATAATCCATGCTCTCAATATGTTGTATTGTATCACCTCCCCACATATGCTCACTCAATTAACTCAACCGGCGACATTTTTGTATCCACTTAATCTACCTATACAGAGGTCTCCTTTTTTATGAGCATTCCAAACACATTTTTACTGTCTGTCAATTATTGATACATTTTTGTAATTTGCTTATTTATTGACAGTGCTCTAGCGAGGCCATGTGACTCAGAACGTCATTGCAATGAGTCTACGGGGCGAGGGGAGGGATGGTGGGAATGGCGTTGCTCTTCTGCAAATTCTGAAGAGAACATGGGCAGGGTGAGCATTGTGGATAAGATTGGAAAAAAAACATTGCACTGGGTGGGACGCGTGTACAGCATGGAGGAGGGGACCTTTACCGAGACAGGCGCTGGAACTGTGCAATTTTAAATCTCGATTGAAAACTCATTTCTTTAACAGATGCTATTTTGTGTTTAGTTTTTTTGTCCTTCCGCCCGCACCTCCAATGAGCACGGTTGGCTACGTGCGGTGGGAAAGAAATTAAAGTTAAACTCTCAACAAGAACCTGCTCTCTGGGCAAGGGACGTGTGGTTTCTCGCGTATCGTCCAGTACATCTCCCGCATTTGTATCCAATTGAGCTACCGCAGCAATCGTTTGAAAATCTATGCAAGGCACATCCTGTTGGTGATATCATCAGAAGATCAAATTATGTTTTAAAACGAGCTGGTGTGACCATGTTGTCCCCTTTAACCCAGAGGCATAGCCACCTATCCTCAAAGAAATCCATTAGCGTGATTAGGTAATTATTTATCTTAATCCAGCCAAAGCACTGCTACTCACCGGTCAGTTAAGATTGTTCTACCCTGTCTTAAAATTAAAAAAATGTTGCTTTATCTTTTATGGTTGCTAACCTAAGGCGAAGTTGTGGCGCAGTGGGTCACTATTTGTGTTTGAGTCCCAAGTCGAAGCTAGAAAAAGCTGCGTGCGATATCTGAACCGATCATGGGCCTCCTCCCCCTTCACCAACCTGTCCTTACCAGCGTGGTGAAGTATGCTCAAAACAACCCCCGTTTCACCGACTGATGTGACGTGGGGAAGCCTTAATTGAAGAGTGGAATGCTGGAGGGTTTAAATTACGGTAATATTACTATTTAACTTTAGGCAATGGAATTTCCACATTTTTGACAACGTTAACTGGCTCATATAGACAGAGAAGTGACAGACCAACAGTCACATTTAGGTTCGAGTTTTTAGCAAGTTGGAGGTGACGGCTCCACGTCGACAGAGAGCCGGGTAAAATCCACTGTGCAGTAAGTACACTGCTCCTCTTTGCAAACATACTCATTGGAGCGTGACAGATATCAGTCTCATTTATATCAACCCATTGGTCAAATAGCTTTCGGACGTGCCATGCCGGGAACTTCTTGACAAACTGAGTTTCCATTCAGTCCCCGATGAAGCTCCCTTTGCGCTGACACGCGGCACGACCCGAAGGCACATCGGACACCATGTGAATGACACGCGGAATGACACGCGGTACAACCGAAGGTACATCAGACAGCATGTGAAGTACATTAGAAAAAAAGTATAGGTAGCAGTGGCATTGGCCAAATGTATTCTGTACTAATTTCATAATTGGCCGGCAGGGATCATTGGATTCCAGAGGCATTGTCATAGGAGGTTGCAAAAAGTAGCCATGCAAATAACGGTGGGCTCGTGGATAACATTGGACCACTGCTGGAGGGTGACGGTCACGCACCACGCAGTGTTTCGTGATTCCCGAATATAGTGAAATCAGCCTTCACCTCTGAAGGTTACCGTACCGTCGCAAAGAAGTATAACGCACGGTGTTAACAAGATCTTTTGCTTTGCAAGGCTGTTGACGGACACGACACGGAAATCCCAGAATCATTGGCAGACACATTTGCGCCAGATACAACTGCGTTCGCACGGTAAGTATACACGTACCTTCAACAGAAGACAAAGTTTCGATCTCTTCAATAAATTGTAGCAGGGATCTCTGAAGCATATCCTGCACTTTTTCCACTGTTGGCTGGGCCGCCATCCCATCGCTTGTACTGTTAAAAGATTGCAAGTGACCGTGTCACGAACGATGGCACGCGAGGGCTAAACTTTCTCACATGCGTACTTAAAGCCGGAGAACTTGATCCCATCAGCCAGGGCACCTCGTGCGCACACAATAAAAACGACGGACTTTGAGCTCGTCTATTGTTGCCTTTCAACGTCCCTCTCTGACAGGCAAAGGTACACTGCGGGCATTCACATCGGTCACCAAAAAAACAAACGTCTTTACAAAACGTGAAATGACGTTTCACAACTCTGGACATTTATACGACTGCGTTTGGGTTTTTTTCGATGTCGTGCTGTGTGTTGATCTCTCCGACGTGGAACTGCTTTTTGTGTTTAGTTTGTTGTCCTTTTCACCCCCCCCCCGCGCGCACCTCCGATTATCACGGTTGGCTACGTACTGCGCGAAAGACATTCGCCATATGTACGAACGAAACGTCGGGCATCATGCTGAACGACACATGGTACGACACAAAACACATCGGAGAGTCAAGACGTTTGTGATTATAATTTTTAAATGGAATGGTTCAGTTTTTTTAATTGTGTACTACATTAACGGTTTATATGCGGTAATTCATCAAACCACACATTTATTTCATTGAAACCAGGAAGAAAGATGCCCATTCGAATGCAAGGATACCTGTGCTAAATACACAGCCGAAAGTCAAAACGTTCAAAGTTTACTCAATGCTCAAACATACACCCGGGTGTGATTGCCAGCATGTTCTGCAAATGGAAGCCAATCTCGATTCTGGGCGAGGCATGGGGGGGGGGGGGAATTCCGTCAAGGCTTAAAGTCGTCTTTGCATAGGGAGTGCCACGGTGGCTAGGAGATGTTAACTACCTCGCCTGGTATACAGGAGGTCGTGGATTCAATCCCGACTCTGACGCCTGCTATATATTTGGAGTTTGCATGTCTCTATCTTTCTCATTATCATCATCACGGTGGCTAGGAGATGTTAACTACATCGCCTGGTATACAGGAAGTCGTGGGTTCGATCCCCACCCTGATGCCTTCTGCTGTATATTTGAAGTTTGCATATTCTTGTGATCACGTGGGTATTTTTCTCCGGGTCCTCCGATTTTCCCCTCCACATTTAGAAACGTGCGTTGAGAGTATTTGGCTGCGATACATTTCCGCACGATAGGCCATTCCGTTGAGCTATTATTTGCGGCCAGGTCGCTTCTGAAAAAGAGCTACATAGCTCAGTGGGCCTTACCTGGTAAAACACAAATCGTTTAACTTCATAGTTTCATTCACCAAAGTCCCCGCCCATGGACGGAGCCGCCGACGAATCAGGCTCCAACGCATCTGACGCACACACGCACGTGCACACACGCGCATAGGCGCGTGTGTCAATTTCTCTGGTGAACTGAAAAGTAATTTGGCAACAAACATGCCGCTCCGCTAAACCTTTTGTGACACAGTCGAAAAACAAATCCACTTTAAAAACTACAAAGCCACAGTCAAATTGCGGGTTGGCGACTGCAGTCACACAGTAGGCTATTCTTAACTGTCCGTTATGGTTATACGTCTCTCTCCTGCCATGCACAACAATTAACAGGGGCAAGTAGTAACTGAACTTAGAAAAATATGTCCGATTAAACTTGTTTTCTCTCTCGTACTTTGAACCGCATCGGCGAAACATTACTCGGGTGCATATTTTGGCTGGAGAATTTGTTTCGAAAAGTGATTATTAATGAGGGATATGCACAAGTGGCATTCATAGCAGAACGGAATTCTAAGAGTCTACGTTGATATGGGGGCAACACATTGAGGTTGGACCATGACAATGTGTGAAAATGTTACCATTCCGACGGGGTTACACCTCAGGTTGTAGGAGGGATTGGTCGGGCGGATTCTATTGATCTACAAACAGTTCTCAGATAACATGTTACTAATAAGCTTAACTCAGCTTATCTATTAATCGGCTTAATTTCCGCCCCCAAGTCTACACACCGGCCCCCTTGCGTCCTAAAAGGACGTTATTAATCAGCTTACTCAGCTTAACCCCCCCCGACTCCGCACGCCCCTCCCCTTGCATCCCTCCTCCCTGGCTCCTCCCCCCTCTCTTACCCTATATAATCGCTTGTCACAAATAGCTCCATCTACTCACTACAGTAATTTTGCTGTGGCTGTTCCACCTGATGACGGAAGCTTGTGTTGCCTCCGAAACGTGATTTAATTTAGTTATTTCCATTTTATTATTATTATTTTTATTTTTCATCTACGTGACTTTACCGAACAAACCAAAGAGTATGGATCCTTGCAGGCACGAACACTTCAAATCTAGAAGTTCTCAGATAATTACAGGGGAAACGCTAAATGGAAATAGCGGCTAAATTAACCCACGATAAATTAAAGATCCAAATGATGTAAATGTACTAATTTGGGGTCTAGAGGCTTTATTGCATTTTTAGACTTGATTCTTTTAAAGTCTATAAACAGCAAACAAATTTGTTCGACTAAACCAGGAGTCGGAAACCTTTAAGAACTGCTTAGTGACGTTATTTATTACGGACCACCGTCTTGCATTCACATGCATTTTTGGACAGAATTCTAAAAAAATGCCTCTTGTTATTTTGATTGCCGACCCGTGGACTAAACAAATCACACCTGCACAGCCTGCCTGTGTCACTTAAAACACAAAATATCAAATAAATGCAAACCTTACCTTCACGTTAATCTGAAGCTTCGCATTAGTCCTGTCCAAATTCTGCTCATCATGATTCGTGGTCCGTTAAAACATTTTCAATCCGCCACGGTGCGCCACGACTTCCGGGAGCAGTCGCGAAACGTCAACAGATCTGTGAATTACAGGGATTCGTCGACCATTGGATTTGTGGACTTTCAAACTTCTGCCATTCGCACATACCCACCGTGAAGGAAATATGCAAAAAAACAGCGTTGCGCTCGCATACCTGTCAACCCCCTTATCAGTTCCTATCTTATAACGGACCAATTCAGATCTGATTGGTCACCCCGTGCCCTTATAAATCTCAACGTTCATCCTACCAAGCGCCATCACAGGGGAGAACCACACACAAATAGACAAAAAACATGTTGTTGTCCGAATTGAAACGGCTGTACGCAGTATGGACCTGAAAACTCAGTCTCCTTGTACAAGAATACGGGGTAAACCGTGTGGGTTGACACGATATGCACTTGCAGCGGTGTAACAAGGCATGCCAGTTGAGAGTGGATAGCCTCCATACAATGATTAGTAGTAATGGGTAAGGCAAGAAATATTGACAGCTACTGGTTCGCGAAGAAAACCTTTAACCAGTGGGATCACCATTGAAACCGTTAACAGCGATTTTGAGAAACAAAAATAACGACTTATCTCGATGAAATGAAGCATAAAAACCCTGAAACGATTAAAGCCATGATTTAGCCTTAACAACCTTAACAGACTGTTGGGGCAAGTGCTGTTAGGGAGCACCTATGAAGGCTGGCATGGCACATGAGGGGGTGGGTGGCCAGCACCACGCCCGGCCGCCTTTATCTCCCCAGTGGGGATGTTTAAACACCGCACCAGGTACTCATTTGAGTCGACCGAGGAAAGGAGGCCTTGGACCAGTTCAGATAATCGTCACTGGGTGGTGGGAATTGACCTCTGGTCATCCGGTTCGTAGCGCAGCACGCTAACCGCTGCGCCACCGCACACCATAATACACACACGTCAGGACGTCATCATCGTCATCGCGGCCAAAGCCATTGATGCCACCGCCACCACCACCACACCTAATTTCCGACGCGTTTTACCCTCCTCCAGATCCCACAGCCATTGCACAGGTGGCATGCAGCGGCCTCCCAAAGATTGTCAGAATACAATACTCACACAGGGGCAGTTTCAACGAAAGCGGAGATGTGCTCAGGTGACACATGCACACGAGCAATCTAACTCTTCAACTCCAGTGACCACGCGCCGCTACATGCAACATTCCACGTTCACATGGCATTTGCTCAATACATGACCCAAGTCTCAGTATTCTGTGCTAATGCAGTCAACACAGGGAACAAATCTCAAATCACTTTTTCTACTTTGAGATTGTTTTTTTCCCTTTCCGTGTTCTGTTCACAGGAAAAACTAAATAATTGTGCAAACTTGTTCTCAGCTTCCCATAATCCAAGCTTAATAAATAATAATATAAAAAACACGCTTTAATTAAATGGTAGAAGTCCACGACTCCAGGAAGTGGCCCCGAGGCTTGCTATCACGTAAGGGAACGTGGCCAATTACAGCCGACGTCAGTTGAGCGTAGACAATTAGACCCAAGCCGAAACATAACATATAAAATAAAATGTTTAAAAATATATTTTTTATTTTAATGATAGAATATTGTCATCAATATGACAGAAGTATACCAAGTTTGCAGTCGATACCACATTGGGAAGTGGGAAAAAATTACTTGCAAGATTTGAGGATACAACGACAACAACAACAGACAGAGTGAGTTAAATAAAAGCGTGTAAAAATAAAAAGGCAACAAAGATATTAAGCTAAGCAGTAAAAGTTACGATTTTGACTGAAATATATTCGGACATTTTCAAGAACTAAACTTTTAAGCATTATTTGCTGTCAGTTTCAATGTTTCGTGTTTGTAAGACAATTAGACTGCTGTTAGCGAATACCCTGATATAAATTAAGGACGGCACGGCACACGCCACATCTGCCCGCGCTGCCTTCACCTACCCAGTGCTGATGTGTACACACCGCACCAGATACTCACTCAAGGCTGAGTCAACCTAGGGGAACCATACCTGTCAATCCACACGGTTCACCCGTAGTCCTGTAAGGGGAAAATTCGTTTTCAGGTCCGTACGGTGTACGGCTGTATCAATACGGGCAACATTTTAGTTTTGTCTATTTGTGTGGGTTTCTTCCTTGTGATGGGACTTTGTAGAATGAACGTTGATATGTATAAGGGGCACGGGGTGACCATTAATTTCTGAATTGGTCTGTAATAAGGTAGCGCAATGATACGGGGGCTCGGCCGCTTTAAATATTCGCTGTCAGTGTTACTGGTCGTGAGCTGGATTCGAAACTCGGGTCGCCGTGTTGGTAGAGGAGCGTGCTGACCACTGTGCCACCACTCCTCGCCGCTGCACAGGTAAAACAAAAGACAAAGATCCCCTGTATAGCCTTAACAGACTGTCGGGGCAAGTGCTGTTAGCGAGCACCTATAAAGGCCGGCACGGCA